AAAAGCCAAAATTGTTGGATGTGCATTTCTGTATAATTTGAGCATTAAATCGATGTACAAGACAGCTCCAGGAACCTCATATAAGCTATCTAAATTATGTTTGTAATTCTGGCCAGTATTATCATCATAAATTTAGTTAGAGGGAGGTTTTCGAGTATTATACACAGTAATCTCCAGACTAATTGGTGAGTGTTATGAATATAAATTCTCCTTCTGTTATATTATTATTATTATTATTATTAAAGATTAGCCGGTATTCTCCCGGCCCGGGCCTTGTCCAAGCGGTGGCCCGGCCTTGGCTCCCTCTTTAGGGAGTGTCTGAGACCGAAGTCTCCCATGGGAGGAGGCACAAGTACCTCCTCATCTTTGGGACCAACTGTCCCCAGGCCTAGCCACAAGCTAGGCCTCTCTGGTCTGTCATCCCCGCCCCAAGGGGGCTAATGGGAATGACAGTCTTATGAGCTAAATGCTCGAGCTCAGGCACCTACCCTACCCTAGAAGGGTTAGGCATGGTGTCTCCTTCTGTTATATAAATGTGTATATGTAATCATTTATTAATTTTAATATACAGTCCACAAAAATTATAATAATTTTACCAGAATTCTTGGTGTTTATGTACATTTCATTTGCAATTAATATAGGTCTAGAGCAACTTGTGGAGAGATTGATGGTAGGTATCGAAGGGGGACATTTTTGCGACCTATGTGTCCTAAAAATTCCTGCTTGTCTCTGTAACTTTGATAAATAATAATTATCTTTGTTACCATTTACTTGTATGCATGTAATGAGATTCATCCAGGTAAATGTAATTTTCCACAATTATTATTATTATTATTATTGGTAGATTTATTATCATTATTATTATTATTATTATTATTAATTTTAGAAGCTACACTGCAGATGGTTTGGAAGTTATCATTACTATTCCAGGATGCTGGAATACGTTCCTCAACTTAGATCATAGGGCTACTACATATGCTAATTGTTCCTGGAAGTTTGGTCTATTGAACGGACAAGAGTGTTGAAAATTTGTAGCCTATCAGATTAGGCTTTCTCACGTAATAGTCGAAACAGAGAAAAATTGGAAGAAAAATAACACTACGTAACAAAATTTCACTTTTGTAGTGTTCCTGGGAAACAAGTATCATTTCCCAACTCTTATTCCTGGGAAATAAGTATCATTTCCCAACTCTTTATAACTAAACGAAATTTAGAAAAACAATTTTGATCCTGGAACTTTGGTTTTGTGGTCAGGCACTTCTGGAACACTTTCAAGAAAGCCTGATGTAAAACAATTATGTTCTAGGGTTTTACTTGACAAATATTAAAACAGTGGCTCATAAACCAGCATTCAGTTCAGTTCTGGCTGCCTGAGAAGACACATCAGAAGAAGTGAAATGGCATCAAGAGGCTACAATCATTCTCCAGATACATTCTGCTATATATGTGGTCAATTCATTAAGATAAGAACAAAGAAGTTCTCTGAAACAGTATCTAAAAAAATGTGTGAAGGTTAGTTACAAAGCATATTTGGAAGAATTGAGACACTTATGCAACATATGGGAATTATTACTGAAGAAACGTTTCGCCACACAGTGGCTTCATCAGTCTTATACAAAGAAGTAAGGTCCAAGGAGAGGAGGAGTTTGAGGTAATGAGTCCATCAGCCTGGAGTCGATGTGTTCAGTCCATATTTTGTCATGTCAGTTGTGCACCAAGACAAGACCTGGGCGCCTCATGTTGCTTCTCAACATTGTAAGAAAACATTGTTATATGAAGGATAAAATCTTGAATAGGATCATTTTTTAAATGAAATGTATGTAATAGAAACTAATTCTTTTGTTCTTTTACAGGATGATACAGAGGAGAAAAAAGAGCCATGAAGTTTGGTGTTGCTAGAATATGACGTGAACCCACTGATCACTCAACCAACTGCTACTTCTGCCTGGTGGATCCTTACAAACACCGAACTGGGAAAAATACACCTAATATTTCTCACCCAGACCTTCCATCTTCTATTGCACCAGTACCACACAGTGCTGATCTTCCTGTACCTACACCTCCAGAAAGAAGTCAACTGTCAGAAGAAGAAATCAGGCAATGAAGAGCATAGTGAACAAGACTATGATCTCACAGATGCAGTTGTTGGGAGGAATCCTTACTATCCAAACCAAACAGACCTCAATGACCTGGTCAGAGATCTTGGTTTGACAAAGTCAAATGCTGATCTTTTGACCTCAGGGCTCAAGGAGTGGCACTTGGTGGATGAAAGTGTGCAAGTGACAAGCCAAAGAAAATGTTACCAACATTGCTCAAGCTTCTTCACTAATGAAGACAGGTTGTGTTACTGTAATGATGTATCAGACCTGCTTGATGCAATTGGAATTGCATGCAGTCTATATGAGTGGAGACTGCATTGACAGCTCCACCAGAAAGCTGTACTTTCTTCACAATGGGAACAAGTATCTATCTCTTCACTGGCTCATTAATTGTATCTTAAGGGGGACTACAACAGTGTCAAACCTCTACTTAAAGCTTTGAACTATGATCAGTATGGCTGGGAGGTTATTGGAGACTTCAAAATGGTGGCATTTTTGATGGGACTCCAAGGAGGTTTTACCAAGTTTCCCTGTTATCTCTGTCATTGGGATAGAGACAGAGCAGCACATTACCAGAGGAAGCACTGGCCTCAAAGACTGAGTTCTCATTAGGAAGACATAATATCAAACATAAACCATTGGTGGATCCTCAGAAAGGTTTGTTCCATCCATTACACATCAAACTAGGGCTTCAAGTATCTTCCAGACTTCTTTCCCAAGCTATCAGAGGTAAAGGTGAAGGCTGGCATCTTCACTGGACCACCACCAGTCAGGAATATCATGGAGTGCTCAGAATTTCCAAAGAAACTCACAGAGAAGGAAAAGAAAGCCTGGGAGAGTTTTGTTGCTGTAGCACAGGGCTTTCTGGGCAACAACAAGGCTGACAATTATGTGGAACTTGTTGAGACCTTGGTAAAAAGCTATGGTCAGATGGGCTGTAGAGGCTCATCTTGACAATTACAAGGAGAATATGGGAGCAAGGAGAGCGCTTCCCCCAAGATATAATAGACTTTGAACACAGATATCAGGGATCTTATAATGACAACATGATGGGAAACTACATTTGGGGGGTTAAACGCTAGTTTAATATCTTTATTATGCACCCCATACCCATCCTGTGGGTGGTAGTCACCCTATACCTATCCTGTGGGTGGTAGTCATCCCCATACCCATCCTGTGTGTGATAGTCACCCCATACCCATCCTGTGGGTGGTAGTCACCCAATACCTATCCTCTGGGTGGTAGTCATCCCATACCCATTGTGGAAAATTACATTTACCTGCATGAATTTCATTACATACATACAAGTAAATGGTAATAAAGATAATTATTATTTATCAAAGTTACAGGGACAAGTAGGAATTTTTAGGACACCTAGGTCGCAAAAATGTCCCCCTTTGATACCTACCTCTCCACAAGTTGCTCTAGACCTATATTAATTGCAAATGAAATGTACATACACACCAGGAATTCTGGTAAAATTATTATAATTTTTGTGGACTGTAGATTAAAATTAATAAATGATTACATATACACATTTATATAACAGAAGGAGAATTTATAATCATAATACTCACCAATTAGTCTGGAGATTACTGAGTATAATACTCAAAAACCTCCCTCTAACCAAATTTATGATGATAACACTGGCCAGAATTACAAACATAATTTAGATAGCTTATCTGAGGTTCCTGGAGCTGTCCTGTACATCGATATAATGCTCAAATTATGCAGAAATGCACATCCAACAATTTCGGCTCCTATTTGAGAGGTGTAAGCCCAATATAACCTCTAGAGTGACGAAAATTATACACCTTATTTTCACTAACATTTACTTGGCTCATTCAAAAAACATGGCGACTCTTCCTCCTCGTCAGCGCAGGAGCCGAGCTTCTCATTTTTTATAATATAATTTTCATTAAATACAATATAGGCCATCAATTTACATATAAAATACTGTATTTCCGGAAAATACATACAGTATTTTCCACACTACCTGTCAAGTGTAGTGAGGTACCAGGGGCTGGCGTTATGTATTACTATGCCTCACTCAACACTATCTGTCAAGTGTAGTGAGGTGCTAGGGACCAGGAGCTGGGGTTAAGTAATATGGGCTCACGAAACGACCGTAATATATCTATACACAAATAACCCGCACATAAAAGAGAGAAGCTTACGACGACGTTTCGGTCCGACTTGGACCATTGACAAAGTCATACTAACAGAGGTGGAGCAGGACGGCTATATATAGGCAGGAAGAGGTGGAGGTAGTAGTAGTAGTAGTAGTAGTAGTACAAGAATTGTATATAATACTACTACTACTACTACTACTACTACTACTACTACTACTACTACTACTACCACCTCTTCCTGCCTATATATAGCCGTCCTGCTCCACCTCTGTTAGTGTGACTTTGTCAATGGTCTAAGTCGGACCGAAACGTCGTCGTAAGCTTCTCTCTTTTATGTGCGGGTTATTTGTGTATCGTTCCAGTCACGGTATTGTGCCTTTTTGTTATTTATGTAATATATCTATTTTTTTTTCAAAATGTCCATCAAAAAGGATTATCTTTCATGTGTGTCTCTAATATTTTCTTGTAATTACAGTTAATGATTCGGGTTTCATCTTTGCTTTATTTTATGTGTTAATCTTATTTTTTTGTTTTATTTTTATCTCTTATTTTCGTAAAATGGAGTTAAACTGGCATCTTCTCTTTCATTCCTACACGAATACCATTATTTCCTTACATTATGTTTTCTTCCTGGTTCTCAATTATTTGGGAACATGAACAATCTCCCAAGAAACGAACTAAAATGAGATTGATTAGAGGACTGGCACCTCCTTCCCATTGTTGAATTCTAGATGTACCCTGACCCCGTTCAGTTGCCATCAAGCCTCACCTTCTTGTGATCAAAAGCGTGTACCTCGCAGCTAAACATTTGCATATCTCGCTCAAACTGGTTGTCCTCGTCTTTACCAAAGCTGTAGACGAGGCATGGGTCGTGCGTCATCTCGTACTCTTCGTTGAAACAGATGTACTTGGTTTTACGTACCTCGTCTGCGCACTCCATCTCGCTCTGCAGAACAGCATTAAGGAAAACTTAGTAAGAACAGTCATGGAGAATGTTTGTTTAATGCTTAGCGAGTGAATGACAGAGACTCCAGCAGTCCTTCCTCTGATACATCAACACAGTGTGGTGATTCTTGATCTTATCATCATTATAATCATAAGGAGAAGTAAACATCACTGAGGAGAAGTTAGATGATGGAGGCGAAGTGCCGCAGCTTCTTTCTTATAACAAAACTGAATACATCAACAGTGTGACTAGAATATATCAACAGTGTGACTAGAATATATCAACAGTGTGACTAGAATATATCAACAGTGTGACTAGAATATGTCAACAGTGTGATTAGAATATATCAGTAGTGTGGCTAGAATACATAAACAGTGTGTCTAGAATAAATCAACAGTGTGACTAGAATACATCAACAGTGTGACTAGAATACATCAACAGTGTGTCTAGAAAACATCAGTATTCTAGACACACTCTAGGCCTATGGCTTTGTCTCATGTACAAGTGCAAAAGTTCATCAGTAAGACTCAGGTGAACATCATCTGGGTTATGCTGCCATCAACATTTTCTGGGTTATGCTGCCCTCAACATTTTCTGGGTTATGTTGCCATCAACATCTGGGTTATGCTGCTATCAACATCTCGGTTATGCTGTCATTAACATCTGGGTTATACTGTCATCAATAGCTGGGTTATGCTACCATCAACATCTTATGGGTTATGCTGCCATCAACATCAGGGTTATGCTGCCATCAACATCTAGGTTATGCTGTCATCAACATATGGGATACGCTGTCATCAACATCTGAGTTATGCTGCTATCAACATCTGGGTTATGCTGCCATCAACATCTGGGTTATGCTGCCATCAACATCTGGGTTATGCTGCCATCAACATCTGGGTTATGCTGCCATCAACATCTGAGTTATACTGTCATCAACATCTGGGTTATGCTGCCATCAACATCTTCTGGGTTATGCTGCCATCAACATCAGGGTTATGCTGCCATCAACATTTGGGTTATGCTGTCATCAACATCTCGGTTATGTTGCCATCAACATCTGGGTTATGCTACCATCAACATCTTCTGGGTTATGCTGCCATCAACATCTGGGTTATGCTGTCATTAACATCTGGGTCATGCTGTCATCAACATCTGGGTTATGCTGCCATCAGCATCTGTGTTATGCTGCCATCAACATATTCTGGGTTATGCTGCCACCAGCATCTGGGTTATGCTGCTATCAACATCTGGGTTATGCTGCCATCAACATCTGGGTTATGCTGCCATCAACATCTGGGTTATGCTGCCATCAACATCTGGGCCATGCTGCCCTCAACATCTTTGTTATGCTGCCATCAACATCTTCTGGGTTATGCTGCCATCAACATCTGGGTTACACTGCCATCGATATCTGGGTTTTGCTGCCTTCTACATCTGGCCTCCTAGATTTTGAGTCCTTAGGCTTCAGCCTACCAATCCTATAGGTAAATCCAGCACTGCACACTGTGCAGTATTTTGCAGGGGGAAATTGGTACATGACTAAGGCTACCGCTACTCGCGGTCGCCATTGTCTGTAATCGTTTGCATTCCTCTTCTTCCGTTAGGACGGTTTCTGTTGTCTTCACTCTGCTTAGTTGGCAACGCACTCAGTTCATTTTCCGAGCATCTGTGGTTCGATTCCCAGCATGAATGGATCGCTGGGTGTTTCCTTACACCTGCTGCCTCTGCACACCTAGCAGTAAGTACCTGGGTGTTAGTCGACTGCTGTGGGTCGCATCCTGGGGGATGGTAGTATACCACAGATAAGACTGGGCTTTATAATGAGCTGAGGTAGGATACCAGTTTTTAGCTTATAAAATTGGCTAATTAAAAAACACTTCAGCACTGTGAAGACACGAAGGCATCACTAACTATACAGAAATAAGTTAAGGCTACAACAAGATATCTGATAGTTTCCTGTAGTTCAGTGTTGTCTTCAACTCCAGCACTGAAACTAACTTGTTTGCATCTTAACATACCAGCAATAGTATTTGTCTACACTAGTTTTAGACTAGAGTTTAGGGATGTCTAATAAAAGAAGCTACAGAGAAGCAGAAAAAGTATTTCCTATATTGGTAACAGTTACTTAACATTACGAATTAACATTTTAATATTGATTCGAAGCAAATATCAAGTTACATAGCATTTACATACAAACGGGTGTTGGATTCCTTCAATATGTTAGTACTTAATGATCTTTAATAGCGCTCTTGGTAGCATGTAAGAACACTTGTACTTAAATGTCTTTGCCAGTTGAATGTACTTAATATGTCTTCGCAGTTTAATGTACTTAATATGTCTTCGCAGTTTAATGTACTTAATATGTCTTCGCAAGTTTAATGTACTTAATATGTCTTCTCCAGTTTAACTACATAATGTATTGTTGTATGTGTACAGAATCTATGCATCTTCAGAACCATTGCTCAAATTTATACAACAGTCTGAATCACTTAGGATATGTCTTAAATAACACTAAACTTATTTTGCATGTACAGCATAAATAATATCTTCTGCCACTGATGTTTCGGCTACCTACGTTGTCTTTGCTGAAACTGATCGCTCTCTTTCTGACAGATTTAAATGTCTCAGAAGGAGTTGTAGCCCTGCTGACACTAACAAAAGTGGTAGCCCTGCTGACACTAACAAAAGTGGCAGCCCTGCTGACACTAACAAAAGTGGTAGCCCTGCTGACACTAACAAAAGTGGTAGCCCTGCTGACACTAATGAAAGTGGTAGCCCTGCTGACACTAACAAAAGTGGTAGCCCTGGTGACACTAACAAAAGTGGTAGCCCTGGTGACACTAACAAAAGTGGTAGCACTGCTGACACTAACAAAAGTGGCAGCCCTGCTGACACTAACAAAAGTGGCAGCCCTGCTGACACTAACAAAAGTGGTAGCCCTGCTGACACTAACAAAAGTGGTAGCCCTGCTGACACTAACAAAAGTGGTAGCCCTGCTGACACTAACAAAAGTGGTAGCACTGCTGACACTAACAAAAGTGGGTAGCCCTGGCTGACACTAACAAAAGTGGTAGCCCTGCTGACACTAACAAAAGTGTAGCACTGCTGACACTAACAAAAGTGGTAGCCCTGCTGACACTAACAAAGTGTAGCCCTGGTGACACTAACAAAAGTGGTAGCACTGCTGACACTAACAAAAGTGGCAGCCCTGCTGACACTAACAAAAGTGGCAGCCCTGCTGACACTAACAAAAGTGGTAGCCCTGCTGACACTAACAAAAGTGGTAGCACTGCTGACACTAACAAAAGTGGTAGCACTGCTGACACTAACAAAAGTGGTAGCACTGCTGACACTAACAAAAGTGGTAGCCCTGCTGACACTAACAAAAGTGGTAGCACTGTTGACACTAACAAAAGTGGTAGCACTGCTGACACTAACAAAAGTGATAGCACTGCTGACACTAACAAAAGTGGTAGCACTGCTGACACTAACAAAAGTGGTAGCACTGCTGACACTAACAAAAGTGGTAGCACTGCTGACACTAACAAAAGTGGTAGCCCTGCTGACACTAACAAAAGTGGCAGCCCTGCTGACACTAACAACACTTTTCTCTCCTGTTAGAAATCATAATAATCCTGTGAACTGATTATCTTTTAAAAACTCTCGACTTTTATTCTAACTTTTACAGACGTTTCTATTCTTTTAAAAATAATAATCATGAATCTTAGTTCCTGTTTTGTTTTGTAGATGCCATGATTTGACCTGACCATTATCTTCCTAACATTTTTCATCTTGACCTGTCTTCTTTATTTTCTTCATCTTTCCCATACTGTAACTTTTTCTTTAATTGCTTCTTGTTTTCCACCTGTCAGAGGCCAGTTAACCCACTGCAGTCATTATCTTATCTCTAATTATAACGTTGTATACTATCATGTACCTGTGTAGTGTCCAGTTACCTCACTCCTCTCTTACGTCTGAGATTTACATTATCTTATTATTGCTACCATTAAATTTACTATTAAAACATACTACTACTACTACTACCAGTGCCATCACTACTTCTTCTAGTTCTAGCATTACTACTCACTGCCTGTTCAATGTTGTTGCTATTTTCATCCCCTGACCTATTATGACCTTCTTTTCCTCTGTCCTTGTCAGACCTGTTCTTCATATTTTTTAAATTTCTGGTCTTGTTGTGGCTTGATAATGGTCCTGAACTGACTAAAATAATGTTTACAACTTTGTCTGGAAAGTCACTCGTAAAACCCCATTCAACTTACTTGACACTTCTCAAGGTCACTCGTACAACCTTCAACTATTTCCACTACTCTAGGTCCCTCGGTCAAGCTTCAACTTACTTTGGAAGGCACTCGGTCACTCGTAAAGATTTTCAGCTTACTTGACACCTTTCCATGTCACTCGTACAATATAACCTTTTACCTTTGACCACTCTCAGGACACTGGAACAAACCATTCAACGCTACTTTTGCACCTCAGGTACCCTGGGGTACAACCGAAAAAACTTACTTTCATTCAACTTTTCAAGGTGACTGTACCTCATTAAACCTTACTTTGAAACTCTAGGTTTGTACAAAAATTAAACTTATTTCACATTCTTCAAGTGTGAATCGAGAACATCCAACTATTTGATATTCCGTGTCTGGGTAAATTAATCATTTCTTATGACTACAGTAAGTAAACTCGTAGTTAATACCATATTAACTTTATTTGACACTCTAATAAGAGGCACTCGTAACAACATCCCAATTACTTTGAACACTCTCTAATCATCGTAAAACATTCAAGATTCTTTAGACACCTTATGTCACACGTACACCATTCACCCCTTAAAATAGACACACCCCAAGGTCACTCCGACAACCTTCAATTTCACTGCACACCTAAAGTCACTCCACAACCTCAATTTTATTTGAACATCCTCAAAATTAAACAGCGTAAAACAATGCCATTCAACTTCCCCATTTGACATAAGGTCACTCGTACAACCATTCAACTTACTTTGACACTCTCAAGGTCACTCGTACAACCATTCAACTTACTTTCACACTCCCAAGGCACTGCTAAAACCATTCAACCTACTTTCACACTCTCAAGGTTACTGCTACACCCATTCAACTTACTTTGACACTCTCAAGGTCACTCGTACAACCATTCAACTTACTTTCACACTCTCAAGGTCACTCGTACAACCATTCAACTTACTTTGACACTCTCAAGGTCACTCGTACAACCATTCAACTTACTTTCACACTCTCAAGGTCACTCGTACAACCATTCAACTTACTTTGACACTCCCAAGGTCACTGCTAAAACCATTCAACCTACTTTCACACTCTCAAGGTTACTGCTGCACCCATTCAACTTACTTTCGCACTCTCAAGGTTACTGCTACACATATTCAACTTACTTTCACACTCTCAAGGTTACTGCTACACCCATTCAACTTACTTTGACACTCTCAAGGTCACTGCTACAACCATTCAACTTACTTTTGCAATTTCAAGGTTACTGCTACACCCATTCAACTTCCTTTGACACTCTCAAGGTCACTCCTACAACCATTCAACTTGCTTTCACACTCTCAAGGTTACTGCTACAACCATTCAACTCACTTTCACACTCTCAAGGTCACTCATACAACCATTCAACTCACTTTCACACTCTCAAGGTTACTGTTACACCCATTCAACTTACTTTCACGCTCTCGAGGTCACCGCTACAACCATTCAACTTACTTTGACACTCTCAAGGTCACTCGTAAAACCCACTTACTTACCTCTCAAGGTCACTGCTACACCCATTCAACTTACTTTCACACTCTCAAGATCACTGCTACACCCATTCAGCTTACTTTCACACTTTCAAGGTTACTCCTACAACCATTCAACTCACTTTTACACTCTCAAGGTCACTCCTACAACCATTCAACTTACTTTCACACTCTCAAGGTCACTGCTACACCCATTCAACTTTCACACTCTCAAGGACACTCCTACACCCATTCAACTTACTTTCACACTCTCAAGGTCACTTCTACACCCATTTAACTTGCTTTCACACTCTCAAGGTCATTGCTACACCCATTCAACTTTCTTTTACACTCTCAAGATCACTCCTACAACCATTCAACTTACTTTCACACTCTCAAGGTCACTTCTACACCCATTTAACTTGCTTTCACACTCTCAAGATCACTGCTACACACCATTTAACTTGACTTTCACACACTCAAGGTCACTGTACAACCTCAATCACTTTCACACTCTCAAGGTCACTCGTACATTTACTTTCACACTCTCAAGGTCACTGCTACACCCATTCAGCTTACTTTCACTCTCTCAAGGTCACTCCTACAACCATTTAACTTAGTTTCACAATCTTAAGGTCACTCATGCAACCATTCAACTTACTTTCACACTCTCAAGGTCACTCCTACAACCATTCAACTTACTTTCACACTCGAAGATCCACTGCGTACAACCATTCAACTTACTTTGACACTCTAAGGTCACTCCTACAACAATTCAACTTACTTTACACTCTCAAGGTACTCTACAACCCATTCAACTTACTTTCAGCACTCTCAAGGTACTGCTACAACCCTTCAACTTACTTTCACCTCTCAGGCACTGTACACCATTCAACTTACTTTCACACTCTCAAGGTACTGTACACCATTCAACTTACTTTCACACTCTCAAGGTCACTCCTACAACCATTCAACTTACTTTCACACACTCAAGGTCACTCGTACAACCATCAACTTACTTTGCACTCTCAAGGTCACTCGTACAACCATTCAACTTACTTTCACACTTCCAAGGTACTCTACAACCATTCAACTTACTTTACACTCTCAAGGTTACTCTACAACCATTCAACTTACTTTCACACTCTCAAAGGTCACTCGTACATACCAATTCAACTTACTTTGACACTCTCATGGTCACTCGTACAACCATTCAACATTACTTTGACACTCTCAAGGTCACTCG